AAGCATGTATCAATGCTGAAGGAGGACATACCAAATATTAATTAATCATATAAAAGTTGTCGTTAGTATTGTTCTTATAAATAATAAAAAAATAATATACATTAAAATAAAGTTTGTATATACTATCGAAATATGTTTCCGCCATTCTTTTCGTCGGGGACTGTATCATGCAGACCTTGATTTTTTTTAATATCAATTATGATTTACTGTTGAATTATTAAAATCTAATTATAGTAATAATTCAATAAGAATTCTTAAAAGAACGTTTATTTCAAATTCCTTGCTATTCAAATCTTAAAATTTTTAAAAATGGATTTGAGAGATTAAATCGATTAACTGCAACTAAATACTATAATTTAATGAAGGTTATGCTATTTGTTTTGGATGAACTAATATTAAATAAAAATCTTAATAAGAACTTGTGTGACCTTTTTTCATTATGGATTCATATGTATATATAGAGCTATTAACAAGAATATACTGAATCAAATCTTTATGAATTTGAGATAATTTTATTAATAATAAATAATTTCTTTTATTTTTTTAATAAAAATTGATGCTAATTTATTTTTTTTATTAAAAGAAATCTATTATTATATGGAGTAATTTATTTATCAAACTTATGTCAAAATTTTCTCCATCAAATTTAAACTTACCCAAATTACACAGTTGGTATTATCATTTAATACTATCTATTTATCAGTTTGGTATTATTAATGGATTCACAAGTGAAACATATGAATTATTACATAAATTTAATGTTAAACAACCATACTGTATGACAAATAAATGTTAAATAAATACATAAATGCAAGCTATTGTATGCTATCAAAACATATTTACAACAATTATATCAAAATTTCAGTTACAATCTCATATTAAAAGTATTTACCATAGAATTACATCTAAAAAAGCTACTAAAAAAATAACACAATATATAATTGATCAATTTACAAATCAATTAAAAAAAATACAAAATAATAAATATGATTTATAGATTTGTGGATTAAAAAAACTTAAATTAGCTATTAATGATTATCTTCAAAATATTGAAAAATGGTTATTACAAAAAATTGAAAATGAAATTATTTGTATAGAATTGTTTGAAATTGCATATTTGGATAATGATTATGGAATAATTATTTGTATAACATCTGATTATTATGGACAAAATGCCTATTCAAAAGTTTGTGTTAAAATATATGAATTAGAACATGATAATCATTACTTAACAGATAATGGTCTATGCTATGCAAAGGTATTATATTAATATGAACTAATAACTTTATTAAATTTTTATTATAATAATTTAATATTATTTTACATATTATAGGTTCTTCTTATTCTTCAGCTTAATTCAAAAAAATTGGATCAACAGAATATTGATTTTGCATTTATTTATTGGTATAACTTTGCATATCCAAATTATATTCAAAAGCAATATTTTTATAAATGTGCTATTATTAAACATGTTGAATATTATACTTTAATTCTTATTGCTTTAATTGTAAATATAGTGCATATGATACCAAAATTTAATAACCCAGAAATATTTCTTGTAAATAATTATATTAAATATTATTAAATAATTACTTAATAATTAAATGCTTTTTAAATAATAAATTCAGACGCTTAATTAATATTTTTTTTTAGAATAATTAATAAATTAAATAAAAACACTTTTTAAGTATATTTTAAAATAGCAGTTACAAAGTATTTATAATTAGAATTTTATTTGTATTATATTACAATAGTAAATAACTGCTTATTTTAAACATGAAATATTGCATATTGAGCATTAAGCATTCGGTAAATGCAAATTTTAAATGCTTATCAGATGATTATACTTAATAAATATAGGTCAACTTTGTGATGTGTATCTAATTGATTATTTAATAAATTATTTAGCTGGATATTGGATTACTCTAATTTATTATAAATTAGCCTACCCTTCTCCCTCAAAGATAGCTCCTCCTGAAATAATTTTTGAAAAAAAAATTTGTTTATTTATTTATAATACAATAATACAAAATAATGTATGCTTATAATTTAAAAAATTTACCTTTAAATGGATTTGTTAATCTTTTCAGAATTATAGAAAATGTATTTGCTAATCTTTTTAGCATTTTTAGAAAGTTTTATTATTCTCTTCTGTATTATCGAAAATGGTTTGTTAATATCTTCTATATGATTAGAAATGTTATCTTTAATCTCTTCAATATTGTCACAAGATTTTTGTTGCTTACACCTTCATTCTCTGAGATTTAACATATCCTTCATTTTAATATCCTTGGTTTTCTCTTGCACAGTCTAGATAGGCATCATCTGGAGTACTAAATTTTGCTAATTGAAGTCAAAAAATCAGTGATTCCAGGATAAAACCTCTCAGCAATTAACTTATGAATCTTTTTCTCTACAAGTATTTTCAACAAAACAAATATTTAAAGTATATTTTACGAAAGAAAATAGGTGATTTCAGAGTATCTTTATTATTATATAGCTTTAGTTGAATAGCTCAATTTAAGTCTGCTGAAATAATTTTTTTTAACAATTAATATATAATAATAATAATTAAAACATACCAGGGTTATAAATTGCAATCAACCTATTTGAATCACTAATGGCAATTTTCGGATTGGTATCATAATTAATTTTTATTGGAGTTTGCGATTTAATCGTCTTGGGCAGACGTAGTAATAGATCAAAGTAAGTTCCATTTTTTATTCAGATTTAACTATTCTACAAAATTACAATATTTTATCGAATTTTAATATGATGCTATATGAGGCTAATAATTAATATATGGTATAGACTTTGGTGAATAATTTTAAAAAAACACTGGATTTCATAATAAACTTGTAAGTATGAAGGATTCTTCTTTTTCAAATCTTCCTGGATAATCCTTATTCTATATATGGTACAGTTCCCAGCAAAAAAAATAGCGGAAACATATTTTGACGGTATGTATAAACTTTATTTTAATGTATAATTTTTTTTATTATTTATAAGAATAATACTAACGACAACCTTTATATTATTAATTAATATTTGGTATGTCCTTCTTCAGCATTAATACATGCTTTAATCCAGCTTGGTATGCTCTTAATGTACTGAAGTAACATAGCGTCATCAAGATCATCCTATTCCTGTCAGATTGTATTAAGGAATATATCGCAAGTAATGTTTTTTTTTTGCTACTAAATACTTGAGCACGTAATCATTCACGATACAA